GCATGCCCACTCTTCAATACCCAAACCTCCCACAACATCAGGCGTTATGACCATCCTAAGTCACTAATTTTTCGAAATGAAGGTCACAAACCTTCCTTGCATTCAAGGTGCCCTGGCTGCACATAACCCGAAGAGGTAAATCACCTGTGCGTTGCTGAGGCGGTCACGTGCACCCCACGTGGAATGCGGATCGATATCTAGAATTCGGACAAGACGGATCGATGGTAGTTTTACTTCGATAATGGTGCAGAACCAGCCCTGGCGGCAGCCTGCTACAGAATACCCTTCTCTGCGAGTCTCAATCTACAATTCTTACCGCTCTGGATAGATACTGTACTTATCCCCCCTTCTGAGGACGTACGAAGAAAAACTTTGGGAACTGCACAGGCTTAGGCTTTAGAAGTATACTGTAAGTCACTCAGTTTTACACCTACTTTATGATTTCTATGCATCTAAGGCAAAGTAACTTAGTTTTCCTATAAGACAGAATAAATTCACTTTTATTTTTGCGTTGAGCATAACAGATTTCACTGTTTTCTCTATTCTCTATAGTCAGTTTATGAGATGGTTGCATAAACTGGCTTTACGGTAGAATCCTACTATGGGTCCCAGATAAGCACGCGAAAGCCCCATCCTTCTGTAATACAGGAACGGTTGTAATAAAGAGTATACGGTCTGAGCAGTAAAAAGGAAAGGAGATATAAACAAAAAGTAGAATTTATAAAAGTAGAGAAAGCAGGAATCATTATTTAAATAATCCAATCTTTTTAGTAGTATTCCGGCAAAATAGGCAAACCGCAGTATAGCTATTTGGGGCTGTTGGCCCTCGTCAGCTACGGGCAGCCAACTCAACAAAAATACCTGCCACAAGTAAGATGTGTAATTATGTAAGTACTGGGAAATAACTAAAGTATGTACAGTAGTCGCCGGTTATTAAGCCTACGGTTAATAGGCCAGCCGCGTATTAAGCCCAAATCAGCTTAAGACGGAATTTTACATAGCAAAATCCGCCGACTAATAAGCCCAGTCGCCGGCTACAAAGCCCAGTTTGCCTAAATCCGCCGGCTAATAAGCCCAGTCGCCGGCTACAAAGCCCAGTTTGCCAATGATATAGAGTGAGATTCTCATCTCTCTGCGTGCGCAACGCGGTCTACAGGCATCCAGAGTAAGATTCTCATCTCCCTGCGTGCGCAACGCGGTTTACAGAGGTTGGTTGACAGCAGACCACAGTGACTGAGCAACTTGGACCTCACATTCTCAAATTCCCCATTCATGATCATTTGGACCTATTCTAGCCAGAAAGAAGCACAGAAGTCGCTTTCCTAGTAAAAATAAACGCATCAGATAGGCACAGGTAAGGATTCTTATAAAGTTGCCTGCATATACTTGGTTTTTTTCGTAAGAAGAAAACACTCATCGCCTTCTAACGCAGAACGGTGTGATCGACTGCTATAAGTCCTACCGCATCTTTGTAAAGCACATTGAATCTGACCAGTAAACGTTAAAGGATGACTCGTTTTTATGAATGGAAACCAGTCCTTGAGAAAAAAAATTAGGGGAAACAGTAATTTAGTTGGAAATTGCAGTGGTCACCCAACAGCGTGCTAACTGTTTTAACTCACAGATCCTCGGTGTTATAACCGAGGCCCAGGCCGAGATATTACCGCGCCAGAGTGTTGTAACGGAGGCCCAGGCTAAAATATTCGCCGTCTAACTACGCCTCATGTGAGCCCCCAAAGAGAGAACACGACAGGAAGTGTGCAGAAGCGGAAGTCTTTGAGTGTTCTATGTACAACAAATTTAGGGAAACAAACGTATGTCAACGATGTCCCTTTAGCCAATAAGATTCTCTCCTGAGGTAGTGGCCAGCCCCATTGGCTATTGCCTCAGTGAGTGAATGTAGCTAGAAATTCAAAGTATCGATTGATTGTCTAGCTCGAAGTGTTAGCTCGCGCATAGGCCGATCGATAGCCTATTGTGGACGCGGCTATGGTTTGCAAACTATTGCTTGCGAAGGCTGTTATTAGGCCGGCCTTATACTCGGAAGCATTAAATCTGGAACTCTATCCTGTTGCAACGGGATGGCTGATTCGTTGATTCGCTGACGACATTCTGATGTTCAAAGCTAGCCCCCATCTCTACACAAATAGGGTGTAAAATGGGGCGCAGTTGTAGGTGGCAGTAACCGGAGCCACAATGATGACGCTCCAAAAGGACGCTACACTCCTTTTGCGATCGCTGTTTATTCAAGTGTATGCGTGTCTGTTATCCTTCAGGTAATCACTCCACCACGGTTGCTGATGCACCCAGTGATGCACCAATTCAGCACTTCCCCTCCGTCTGCCCCTTCCCCGACCTTGCCCTTCCACCTTCGCTACCTCCGACGCCCCCAAGCAGCTTACATTATTCCCCCGTCTCCACTAGCCTCGCCGTGACCTTCCGTCGGGAGTTAGCTCCCGAAGGAACAACATCGAGGACAACACTCGGTGTCGCTAGTACATACATTGTGGCAGACGAAGTCCCTGCCTTCAACGACCGGAAATGTGGCCTTCTGGTTCCGAGGCAGTCAGCTCAGCCTCACAATTTGAAGACATAGAGTGCGAGGATGCTGACAGGGACGAAAGGCTGTCTGACTATCTCCGAGCCCATA